ATGGTTCATTATATACCATGGTTCATTATATACCATGGTTCATTATATACCATGGTTCATTATATACCGTGGTTCATTATATACCATGGTTCATTATATACCATGATATATAATAATACCTGACCTGAGTCAGTTTTGTCTTACAGGAAGTTGAGTGTGAAGGCTGTCACCAACTCCAGGTTTCTTGACGCTGTTGGAAATGTGGCTCCTAACAGTTTGTATGATCTGGCTCTGGGGCCAGCAGACTCCAAGGAGGTAACCCACAAGGCACCAGAAATATGCTGCTTTTTAAAATTATTTCTTTTTATCATATTCATGTTTATGGTTTTTATTAGGTTTGTTCAACGTGCTGCCAGGATTTCAACAACTGTCCGGGACACTTTGGACACATAGATCTGCCTCTGCCTGTGTACAACCCACTGTTCTTTGATGTAAGTGTTTAACACTCATTGTTATAGTCTTTTATATTTCCTGCCTATATGTTTATCAGGTTATTGTTCCATTACATACTGTCCTTTCTCTCATATCTAATTCTAAAAAAAGAAGAACTTCTATTGATATACACAGAGTGATGTTTGGGTGTTTACAAACTTGTTAAAAAAATGAAAAAAAAAAGATCAGATAAAGAGAGGGCCCTCTCAAAGCTCATATCAGCAGGAAAACAACAATAAACAACAGTAATGATGACTGCATGTTGGTTTTTTTTGTTTCACTCAGTGATCAGTGTGATGTTGGCTGTAGAGTCCGTCGGGGAAATACAGTACTTTTTTTTAAAATGTGGTGATGGAAAGAAATGTGAAAATCAGCTGCACACTCACKTTCAGTATAACCAGCTGCTGTTTTAACGACAGGCTTCAGACAAACAGTAATTTAAAACAAATCAACAAGGAAGGAAGATCTGCAACACAAAGTATAAACCAGCCTCAACACGATCGTGATCAAACAGATCCCACTCCACCAAGCATCTCCCCTCCAAAAACAAACACAAAGAGAAAGGAGTGGACATTAAAATCAAACAGTGACAGATATGTTTAAAAATGACCAACGTGGGCTGATTCAATGTTAATGTTGATCCATATGATGCATCCTTATTAGAAAGTACAGAGCTCATTCTACAATGCTCTGCACTCAGTGTGTTAGACATAAATCCACATCAATCATTCACTGATTAATGAATTACACTAAGGCTAAACCAAATATTGATCAAATCATCATTATAGACAGAGCTGCATTTAACAATTATTTTGATAGTTGACTAATTGTGGTTAAATAATATGAATATTTGATAATAAAAATTCTGTGTCTGCTAGTTTTAATAATCAATGTGTAATGCTGCGTTCACACTGAACACGATTTCAGCATCAGCAAATAGGGATGGGTACCTTTGACGTTTGAATCAATTCAGTACCAATATCTGGTACCTGGGAATCAGTACCAGTACTTAACGGTACCAATGTTTGGTACTTTGTGTGTTGTTTTTTAATATAAACTTAAAAATTTTTTTAAACATTTATTTCTCAATATATAAAGTTTAACAAATATCAAGACAACATCAACTGTTTGTATTGTAACATGAGTTGTGTAACTTATTTCTTTAAGGTGAAAACTGTTGAAAACAACAACTGTTTTGTCTTATTA